GGAACTAGAGTTTGAGGAATGTAGGGACCCTCCTGTATGGATCGCAGGAGATTCCTATCCATTCCCTCCAGAAAATTTACCATTCTGATCTTCCATTGAGGATACTCCTCTCGTTGAAGAGTTGGAGGCTTTGTGAGGGAACCAACATTGTAAGCGGAATTCCAGTTGGCCATTGAAAATTTTTAAGATGAAGAGAGAATTTTTTATGAGAAAGAAGAATAAAATATTGAGAGATTTTAAATGATCATTTTGATTGGATAATCAATCAATAGGCTCTGATACCAATAATATATATAACAATTCTTCTTACAACAATATGCAGAAACAAGGTACCCTCAAATGATCAAAACCAGTTTCAAAGCCTTATAAAAACTCACCTTAAGCAACTTTTGGAAGATGAAATATGCACATAGAAAACAACTTCCAATTGATCCCAAAATTAGTGTTTACCTTTGCCAGGAATTCACACGGAAGCTCACTTTCTCCTTATAGACTTTCCAGAAATGGCAATTGAAATTTCCTTTCAAAACATTTTTACTTTAAATACCTTTCCACATAAAGGCGGTGGAAGGTTTATTAAAATAAAACCCCACCTCACATACCACCTCATACATGTATGCATACATATACATATATGTACATACTCACATTTTCACATATTCACATATACATTTCCATGCATGCATATACTCATATACACAAATGCGCATATACATGCATGCCTACAAGTGTTAACATCACGCCAGTACTAAATATAGGTCAAATTGGTATCCTACGTAGACCAGGTGTTGTTTATCCGTATGTTTCTAGATATATTTTAGCCACTACAATGAAAGCTATACAAAATTCTACGGCAAGCAGTCTGATGAGTTGAAAAGATTGCTTAAACGTAAGAGTGTTGCTGAAGTGTTACCTACACCACCTACACCACCTCCATAACCACCTGAAAGACAACCGGAAGATTTGTCTACTAAAGAGTTAAATTCTTTACCATAAGCAAAGCTTCTTTCTCAGTCCACAGAGGTTAATCCTACAGATGTGGATTTGGTTGGTATACTGAGAAGACAAACTGAGGCTTCAAGTGATGTTGTGAGCAAGACTGGATTTTTTGGAATTCAGATGAAGTCAAAAACAACTTCATGAATGTCACTAATTTGATCAAGTCAACTTCCAATTCTCTCCAACAAACGTTATGTATTCTATCTAAAAGGGTTCAAACCTTGGAGGATAACTGTAAAACTTAGGCGGGTATGTTAAAAAGAAGACATGATGATCCTGATGATCAAAACTACCATGAGGGGTAGATGAAACGCCAAAGATTATTTGAAGGAACTAGTACCTGAGTTGAATTAGTTGGGGTTGAGAATTTTAGATGTAGATGTTGAGAATGTTCAGAGATCTAAAGGTAGTACTCAAGTTGATGCAATGGAAATTGTGGTTGATCAGAATATAGAACCAGTGGTTGAAAAGCATGAGGTTGCTGATAAAAGGACGGAAGAGAAGATTTTAGCTGATAAATTGTTGACTTGTGGCCATAGAGTCTGATGATGAAGAATTAGAATCATTCAAGTTACAGGTCAAAATGAGATAGAAGACTTGTTTACTTTTTCTGATAATGAGTATGAAGAAGAAGGAGATTTTGATATAATAAACCAGTTAAATAAGGGAAGTCCATAATCAACTGAAAGAGAGCAACAACCTGAACCTTCAATACATCAAACGGGGCAGTCTATCAGAACTAAAAGTACACCGGCATAGTCAACACAAACTAAAAGGTGGGAGCATTCTAGAATCAGAAGTTGACTTTCTAGAAGATTTTGAGAGGAAGATTTTTTTTCCCCGAAAACTAAGAAGTTGGATGTTGTAAAGGTTATGGGAATCACCGAATTCAACAAGGATCATCAGGTTGAATATATATATATATGATGAGATCTCAAGCTCAAAGTAAACATGTAATTAAGTCAAAGCAAAGGATAATTCCATTATTCAAGTTTATAAAAAGAGGTTGGTACATGTTTGGTATCCAACCTTTCATGTCACAAATCAAGATGGAAGAATATGGAGATTTTCTAAAGCGGATTTTCATTTGTTATATCTAGAAGATTTGGAGTTTATGTACTTTGAACTACGTCAGAGAACTATTAGACCAGAAGATGTTTACTCTTGCCTTGACTCATATGATCAGATTCTTGAAAAGACAAGTGAAGTACTCGTATATCATTTATTTGTAGATTGGTGTAGAAAGTAACGAGAGAAAAGTGAATTTGCTAAATCCTAACCAGAGTTTGTCCGATGTTGAAAATTTTCCTTTATACATGATCTTAGAAGAACCAAAGTTCAGTGTGGAGTACATGAATGGTAAAAGTGAAATAAGTCTCATGAGATTTGGAGAGATTGCAAGCTATTCTAATGGTACTCTAAAGATTGGCAAGATGCAGTTGAAGAACAAACTTGATGTGGATAAAAAGGGAGAAAGTGAAGATGGATGAAAAAGATAAAGAGCTGATTTCCAGAGCTTTTAGATTGTATTGAAGAAAAATTGTAATTCAAAAAGCTCATCAAAAGATTTGAAACTTATTTTGGGCTTAGAAAGAGAAGAAGAAGGTTTGTGTAAATTTTGCAACTTGATTACATAGGGGGAGGTTGTTGGGTTTTAAAATGTAAACATGTTCAAGTTAAAGGGCTTATCTTGTAAATACTTTTAGGGTATAAATACTTCTTTTAGTTAGTTTTGCAACTTTGAACTTTCATTTGTATGCGTATCAGTTTGTAACTTTCTCTCTCAATATCAATGACAACATGATTTCTCCATTGATGATTCTTTGAAGATTTGTTCATATTACATGAAACTGGGATTCACATTAGTGCCACTTGAGGACAAACAATAAAGAATGATATTACAGCAAATATGTTAAGGATCTATGTCTTACATGGATGGGAGGCGTCAACAACTGATGACAGAGTGCTTCGAGATACTTTTCTTAGGCCAAATGTGTTGAAGGTGCCTATGCCATATTATTACTTGGTAGATGCTGGATACACGAATGGAAAGAGTTTTCTCAACCCTTATATAGATCAAAGATATCATTTACATGAATAGGGTGATGAATACCAACCAACTACTCCAAAAGGATCTCTCAACATGAAATATTCTTCGGCAAGAAATGTTATAAAACGAGGTTTTGGTATTTGGAAGTAAGGTGGAGAATTTTAAAAGATAACTCGTATCATCTCATTGAAATGAATATTAACACCATAATGGCATGTCATTTCCTCCATAATTATGTAAGGCATAAAAAAGCCAATCGACCCGTTTGAAAATGAACAAGGGATGGACAGAAAAATCGACGATGATGGACACCAATATGAACTCCAAAATGAGGATAAAATAAGTTTTGTTGGGACATAGACCAAGTGGACTGCATCTAGAAATAATTTGGCACAAAACATGTTTGACCAATGGAATGCTACAAGTTGATGATTCATGATTATTGATTAATTTGTAATGTTAAAACATTGATCATTATGATTTTTAATCCTTATGATCTTTATGTTTTGTAATATTTACACTTTGATGATTGTATTTCTATGTTTATCTTTACAATTTAATTTTATGCTTTGTAATGTTAATGATTATTTAGTATTCAATTTAATCTTTATGTTTTGTAATGCTACAGTTTGATGCTACACTTTAATTCTTTTGATTTTAAGAATAAGTATGATGGATTAAAACCATAACAGAAGCTATCGAATGGCTAAAGTTGAGTTAAAACGATGAAAAAAGACTAGCAAGTTGTATACGATATGGTAAATGGTACAAACACCAGCGGCTTCATTATGATAGTTTGAAACAATGTGTAGTTGCCGAACCAACTATCTGAGAGACTTATTTTAAGGTACGAGCTATTTTATTTTGTTATAATTTTACTTATTACCTGCTATTCTGTTAATTTTTAAATCTTATGATATGAACAGGTTCATAAAGATTCAACTAAATGGTAAAACAAGGCATTTCCTAATTTTGAGGATTTGTATATTGTTTTTGGGAAGGATCAAGCTCAAGGAAATAGAGCAAGAGATGGTTGAGGAGGCGAACATGGAAGATCAGGAACAACAATCAGATGTTGATTCTGGAGATGAAGAACAACAATCAGATGATGATTTTGGAGATCAAGAACAACCACCCAATTTGCGTAATGACTAATGTTCTAGTCAACGTAATAAAAAGAAAAGTCGAGGTGATCCTTTTTTTGATGGTCTAAATAGCACATCTATATTTCTTGGAAAGAAGCTTGAAAACGCCTTGAACAATATGGCTAAAGCTGAGTTGGATTTGCAAAACAAAACTTCCATGCTCACTTATGAGGTTGTGAAATGCATTCACTTTCTTCACTTGAGAAGTACAAAAGTCTTTCAAAAGATAGTATGTGACTCTGAAATCGTGTTGAATTTTTGGGCTTTGGAAGAAGAGGCACGATTGAATTTGGTGAGATTTATTTTGGAAGACTGATTTAATTATGAAGTAAGTATTTAAATATTATTAATTTGGTTATTATGTGTGAAGACATTTTCTATTTTAATAAATGCTAGTATACATGGTTAATAAAAAAAAATAATAAGGTTTACAAGTTAAACAATAACTTACAAAAAAAATCATCAAAAGGTTACTTTATGTAATGTTGTTATTTTATTTCAATTTTTTTGACCTGGATATTCAACCTGCTATGCGTGCCGACTAATTTTAAGATGACCACCTGTTTTGCAGATAGCCTGGAGTCATCATATTTGAACCTCCATGATCATAAAAAGATTTTTATTCCTCATTAAATTTGAATCTAAAATCTACTGATACTTTTGATTTTTAAAGCTAAACTCAAACCAATTAGATAGACGTTTATTTTATTTCAATTTTAAAACTACGTTATGCTAATTAATTCATGGGCCCAAAAAGAGAAAAAAACAGCGCGCAAGGAGTAGCATCCACGTGATGTCAACGTGCAGGGGCAAAAACCCCTCAATAATCCTTTTGGTACTCGTTTCGCTTTACAATCCGCCACCGGAAACTGGAATTTGCCGTCGGAATCTGTTGGATCTGAACCCCTGCTAACGAACGTTGTGCAAGCTCTAGCCTGACTTCTCCATCATTGGAATTTATGCAAACTTTTATCAAACTTAATCAGGAGAAACCGTCCATTGTTCCGTTGATCCAGACATGAGCTATCGAAGGTTCGAGCTTTAATCTTTATAAATAAATTTGGGTTCCATCGCTCGTCAGTGTTCGTTATCGTGATTATCATTCGTTTTTATCTTTAATTTGCAATGTACTCCCTTTCTGAGTTGATTGTTTAGGGGGATTCTAAAATATTAAAGCAGAAAACCTAGTTTGGAATCAGTGCTTAACGTTTTTGTGCGATCACTAGTAAAAAAGGAATAGGCAATGCCAAACGCTTTGTAAAGACTTGGTTAAAGTTATGGATTAAAATAGTTCCTTAAGCGGAGACACGTGATTTGAATATTTGCGTAGTTGATTTGCGTTTGGATGATGAAATGCATAGTTGTTGATAGTACCTTCAGTCCCTAGGAATCTAGGATCATTCATATTGCCTCGTAACTACACTCAGCTGCTATAGTGGAAATGGCTATGAGAGCATGCATAATGCTCCTCCTAAATGGTGTGACTTGAAGATGATGACTTGGTGAACTTTGTAATACCATTTACGGAATGCCCCAAACGTGCACGTTTTTTCTCAAGTTTCTCTAGGAGTCTCCCGACTCTCTCTAATGTTGGACTGTGAGGGTGAATGAAAATGTTCATATGATTTGTGGACCATAACCATAAATGAGTTAGCTGTCTGTTAACTCCCATTATCTCTGTTTTGACCCATCATAAGCCATTGAGTCCCAGGATATTTCAATCTTATTGATCACTTACATTTCATAGTTAATTTTGAGTTTTGAGTGATGGAAAAGGTAGTATCTTGGCTGTTTATATATGGGGGGACATGTATAACTTGGGAGGCTATAATGGTAGTTGAAAGAAGGTGGTGTTTGGTTGGAGATATTAGAAGGTAATGAATGGAAATGACAGTCATTGATCATGTTTGGTTCAAACTAGAATGGAAATGGGATGAAAAATGGTGTTTGGTTTAAGATTTCTAATCTATCATTATAATAGATATGGGTAAAGATCATTCCTCCCCCATTTGGGGGGAATAGAAACTTTTTCTTCAAGTCTACCTCTCACCCCTCAATCATCACTGGCTTCTTCCCTTCTCCATGGTAACACCATCACTCTACTTCTACAACCCCATCAATGGCGGCCGGCAAAACTGAGTACTCCCTTCATCTCTCTCATGAACCCTAGTCCTTACCCCAACGTAGCACTCCAAACACAAATATGTCAAGAGATGAAATTACCTTCATTTTTTTGAGATGAAATAGGAGATGGAGATAATTTCAAAATTTGTGTTCAAAAATGAAGTAGGAGATTCAGATGATTTCAATTTTGTGTTCAGAAATGAAGTAGGAGATTCAGATGATTCTGATTTTATGTGTTGGATATGCTTTTTGTGATGTAGATGAAGATGGAGATATGTTGGAGATGCTTGTTGGGATGGAGATGAGATGTGTTGTATGAACATGAAGATGTTATGCAATGATTTTGTCTTGTAGATGCTTGGTGTTTTTTTTTAAATATTAGCATGGAAGGAAATTCCCAATAATACAATACAATGAAATAAAAATAATCATTCCTATTCTACTCTATTTTCATCATCAATTCCATTTTCATTCCTTGAAACGAACCAAATTCCCCTGAAGAAAGAAAGAATTTGAAGGTGAAAGCTGAATATCTAGAAGGAATATATTTTTCTTCTATTAGTCACACGAATAAATCTACAGGGTACATGTCTAACTAACTTTGCATCTATCTAGAACCTATACTTATGTGATATGATTACAACATATCATTAAATCTATCTAAAACGAAGATAAATACATAAATACTAATTAGATAGATATACTATCTATAGATATTACTCGGGGGCTGTTTGGAAAAGAGCTGAATGGGTTGTATAAGGTTATAGCTTATGCGATCAACTATAAGAAGTTGTTCGGTTGAAGCTTATTCATTAAGTCAAGTGCTTATTCGCTCGGCTAGAAAATCTTAGTTCTTTACACTCTACCATTTATTTTCCTACAACTACCCTTGCAATAAAGAACAACACATCCTTTAAAAAAACACGCGCCTCACAGAATACCCTAAACCCGTGATCTGTGTACTTCAAGCTCGAGCCCTCTTCTTCCTGCCATCACCAGTTAAACACTCTCATAACACTCTGAGGAAAACCCACCACTCTCATGAAACCCTCTAATCAAAAGCACTCTTGAAACTCTCTGTAAAAAGGAAACCCACCACTCTCGTGAAACTCTCTAATCAAAAGCACTATCAAGGAATCCCCATTTTAATGATTCACGATCGGTATTTTTATTCATACTGAAACTATTGAAACCCTTTTGGTAAAAAAGAAACCAACTGCTCTCGTGAAACCCGGTGATAAAAATCACAATTTTTTGTGAGTTCAACTAAAATCACAAAATCAATGTAGCTGCTAATGAAGCTATTAATGTAAAGAAGAGGAAGAAATTTGTAGATAGAAAAAATCCATCAAGGAAGAGGAGGACTCCATATTTTTTGTGGGCACTGATTTTTTCTTGAAGAATGGTGAGGGAGCTTACTGTTTCAGAAAAGAAAAGGGGGGGGGGTTGAATCACTACATTTGTTCTTTTTCTTCTTTTTCATCGTTTTCTTCTTTTTCATCGTTTTCTTCTTTTTCTGGGTCATCATAGAAGGGGTAGGGCAGGTGTGTATTTCACCGGTAGTGATGGAACTACCTGCTCCTAATAATACCCGATAGATACAAAGTTGTTAAAAGCTCAAGGCCCACTTAGGCGCAAAGGATCCTGGGGCCTAGGCACGAGGTGTGGGTCGCATCTTATAAAAACAATTATATATATGTATACATACATAGTTATACACAACTCAAATAGCATTCTATAAAACATAGTTCAATTTCAATTTCTAAAATGTAGTAATAGCAAAATATATCTCAATAAAGTCTTGACTAGTATAAGCCTACAATGCAGCAAGTACAAGCCTACAACGTAGCAAGTACAAGCCTCCAATGTAGCAATCAGAAGAGAGAAGGGTTTAAAGCCCTGAGGAAGAAGTTTTGGGTTTAAAGCCGTGAGGGAGAAGTATAAGGTATGGATCATATTTACAGGGAGCAAGTTTTGGGGCATGAGAATTGAATAACTTATTTAATATTAGGACTTACCTAATAACTCCTTTTTGTAGAAGACTAGAAGTCTAGGAGATTATAAGACTTAATTAATATTATTTTGACTTATTTAATAATGCTTTTTGTAGAACTTTAAGAGACAAGAAAGTTATTTAATATTAGGGTTTGTTTGACTGGTTTTATAGAAATCTTTATAAGGAGCGCCTAGGCCCATATAGCGCCTCAGCCAAGGCCTAGGCCTTCGTGCGCCTCATCAATACATCTCACCTCGACATGCAGAAAGCCCAAAAGCTTGCGCCTTATGTGCGCCTTTCACAACTATGGATATATATATATGTATATGTATGTATATATTTTAATATATAATTTGCTTAGTTTCTTTGTGTTGCTTAATAATCTTATACTTTTAAATTTGTCATGATCTATGATCACATGTGGTTGCTTAGGTCACTGTATTTTTTAAATTTGAGGCTTATTTGTTTGTTTTAAAATTAAAAACTCATTTTTTATTTTTATTTTAAAATACGTAATTTTTTCCCTAAACGGGTGAGGATGGAAGTTTTACATGTAGGGGTAGGGATTCCCCTATTTGGCGGGTAACGGGGCGGGGACGAGGATTTATTTTCATACCCGAAGAGGGTTCGGGGCGGGTCGGGGATGACATTACCCGCCCCTAATCCGACCCCAATTATTTTTTTTTAATTTTTCTATTACACGTATATAGTGTGTGTATAAATGAATATATATGTATAAATTTATTTTTAAATGACAAATATATTTGATTTTCAATATTCGTAATTAATGTAGTAACGATTCACTATAATTTTGAGGTACTTTGTTTTTTACTGAATGGGTAACCAATGGGTTTCCCAGACCCACGGGTATTCCTTTCCCCAAAACCTGTTGGGGCGGTCGGGGATTTTTGGGGGGGGGGTTTAACGGGGATTAGTGTCGGGAAGGTGGATGCATTACCCGCCCAATAAACTGCCTCGTTTCTTCCCTAGTGACGGGCGACATAAAACCGGGTCGGGTTGGGATGCATTTTGTGCCCATTACTTGCCCCGTTTCCATCTCTTATCACTGGAGAAGGAGGTCGGATTGCCGGAGAAAATGTAGGTTGTGTTTCATTGGAGAATGGGTTTGAATCGGCAGAGATCTTCGTTGTGTATCACCGCAAGATGTATAGTCTCAATGTGTGTATCAGTCCTTATCCCCTATATATATAAAAAATATTTTCATGTATAATTATTATAAATATACGAATTATATTTTAAAATATAAATTTTTATTTTAAAAATGATTAAATGGATCATTTATTATCTATTCAAAATCAACCATTCAACATATTTATTGAACAATTATTTCAATCTGTTTAATACAGACTGAAGGGTAAAATAGTCATTTATGTCATTCAGACCGTTTGTTCTGCACAACAACCAAACAACAATTTAGTCTGATCCTCTCAGACAACTAATTCTCTACAGACAACTTAATCCATACAGGGCTTGATGAAAAAACAACCGAACATCCTCTCAATACTTCCCCTCAAGCTGGAGCAAAGATTTTGATCATGCCCAACCTGATTATAAATTCCTTCGAAGATTTCTCTGAATAATCCTTTTGTAAGGATATTAGCTTGTTGTTTTGCAAAAAGTACATATGGAATAGAAATCTCTCCACTTCCTAGGTTTTACTTGATGAATTTTTGATCAATTTTGACGTGCTTGGGTCTATCATGCTGAACAGGACTATGAGCTATGCTTATGGCAGATTTATTATCATAGAAGAGCTTCATATTGGATACTTTAATTTTGAATTGTTTAAAAAGAAACCTTATTAATGCTTATAGTTCTTACTATGTTGTCTCCCGTCAACACAATATCGTCCACGTACACACTAAGAATTTTAGTCCATAAAAGAACTTCTTTAGCCTACATACTTTCCCATACGAAAACATGTCATAAATTTCGGAGGAACGTCCATGTAGACTTCTTCCTCTGGTTCTCTGTTTAAGAATGGATTCTTCACTTCAAGCTGATGAAGTGGCCAGTCAAGGTTTACTGCCAAAGATAGTAAAACTTTTAGCTCATTTAGTTTAGCAACCGGAGCAAACATTTCCTGGTAGTACAGGCTGGAAGTCTGCGTGAACCCCCTAGCCACAAGTCTTGCTTTATACCTCTATATGGTTCCGTCTGCATAGTTCTTGATAGCAAAGACCCATATGCTACTTGCTCGGTGTTTTTCTTTGGGTAAAGGTGTTACTTCCCAAATATCATTCTTTTGTAGAGCCTTCATTTCTCTGAACACAACTTGCCTCTATCTTGGAAGCACTAGAGCTTCATTTATCGACTTTGGAATCTCATCATTTGTAATACTACTGGGGAAAGCTTGAAAATTTCGTGAAAGTTCAGTATAGGAGACATAGTGTGATAGTGGGTATACAGGAGGTTTGGCTCATTTACATGTACCTTCACTAAGAGCTATAGGTCCATCATGATTACTAGACTTATTCTAAATTTGAAGCAACGATAGGAAGAGTAGATGTACCTTGGCTTTATGCCTGGTTCTGACAATAGTGGCAGTAGTGAAGTAGGCATATTGGTAGCTTTGCATGGTGTCCTTCTAGAGAAAACACGAAGTTCTGAGGTTGGTGCCCAAGTAGAAGGTCTCTCATTCATCTCTTGATTTTGAGATGTTATGGTAACATGCTTATTTATATCATGTTTGGTTGTTGATTGGGTAAGAAATGACGGGGAGATTTTTTGACTAAAAAACGAGATTGTCAAAATTAATTTTAGGTGCAGAATATTGTTCCAAAACTGAGCTTCACTTGGTTCATTCTCCCCCTGAAGGGATGTTTTGTCAACGAGGCTTATATTCAAAAAACGTGACATCCATACTTACAAAATATTTTCCCAACCTGAGTTCGAAACACTTATAACCTTTTTGTGTTGGAGAAACGCCAAGAAAAACACATTTATGAGTTCTAGGATCCAATTTATCAGGACAATGACCATGTATATGAACAAATGTTGTGCACCCAAACATTTTAGGAGATAATGTTGTGGAAATCCTATTCAAAGGAAGGCAGATTTCAAAGCTTTCAATGTGTGGTGTAGTTTAAAACCCAGGTTGGCATTTGGTTAATTAAATAGGATGCTGTAAGAATAACTTAACCCCAAAAATGTTTAGGAACAAGCATAGCGAAGAGTAAAGCACTTGGTACTTCTAAGAGATGCCAGTTTTTCCTATCTGCCACACCATTTTGTTGTGGTGTATCTACACATGAGCTATGGTGTATATACCTTCTTGAGAAAGAGAGCTACCAAGAATAGAGTTAAAATACTCATGCCCATTATCATTTTTTAAACTTTGAATTTTTGACTGAAATTGATTGTTGATTATAACTTGAAAAGTTTTGAAAATTTCAGCAGCCTCTGATTTTTCTTTGAAAAGGTATACCCATATATTCTTAGTGTGGTCATCAATGATGGTTATAAACCATTTATTACCCCAAACACTCTTATTTCTTGATGGACCCCAAATATCACATTGTATGAGAGAGAGGTGGATGTCATGTAATTAAGAGAAGGATGTACAGATCTACAATGTTTTGCATATCCACATATTTCACATTGGAATGTCTCATATCTTTATCTTTGAAAATCTACAGGAACAAACGTTTTAGATAACTAAAACTAGAACGGCCAAGTCTATAGTTCCATAACATCATTTGATCATTTAGACACAGAAAAAGGAACTACTTGGTTTCTGAATTTGTTTTTCTAAAAGGCTGCCATCATCAAAGTGATAAAGTCCCTCTACTTCCTTAGCATTGGCACTCGTCTTCCCCAAGCATAGGTGCTGAAAAATACACCCGGTGGATAGGAATTTGATTAGACAATGGCAATTTTGAATGAGGCTACTAATAAATTGTAGGATAAGTTAGGAACATGTAGCACATTCTTTTTGGTAATAGATGGAGATAGAAAGATTGAACCTTTCCCAACAATAGAAGATAGAGAACCATCTACTATTTTTACTTTTGATTTCTAGAACAGGGAAAGTAAGATGAAAAAATATAGGAATTACCGGCCATGCGACATGTGGCTTGCCATGCAATTTCCAGCACTTCACCTTAAGATGTCCAGGTTTGCCACAGTGATCACACATAGGACGATCCCTATCCGTTTGTCATGGAGGTCGAGAAAATTTGAGGGATTTTCAGGCTTCGGTGAAATAAATGTATATGTATCACTAGGTGGAACTGATGCTGTAGTGGCTCCTCCTCCAAGCATCACTATGCACAAGGAACTCAAAAACTCTATTTCTCCACCATCTTTTGGAACAAGGCCTGGTCCTTTGAACAACTACATTCAAAATTATTAAACAGATCAGACCCCTGTCAGAGAGTCTTCTGATCTGTGTAATATTTAGTCACCGTCTTTTCTCCTTGCATAGCTTCCCACAACTGAAGTTTAATTTGAAACCATTGACCTGTGTTGCCAAGTGCAGAGTAGGTCTCTTTGACTGCATTCCAGCGTCTCTGTTGTGGGAAGGAATAGGTATGTTCTTCCTATGTTTGACTCCATCGAGTTGTATAACCAGGACCTGATCATAAAGCTCTCAGCTTCCCATTTTTTCTTCAGCTTTCGCAGCTGGCTTTTCTATAAAACTAGAAAGAAAGCCAAACTTGGACCTGCCACGAATAAAGAGTTTTACTGATTGCGAACACTGTAAAAAATTGCTCCCATTTAATTTATGGGAGGTGATTGATATATTCTGAAGGGGTTCAGAGTTTCAAGCATTATCATAGATCCTAGCAGGTCTCACCACATCCTATATAACCAAGTAAATTTACCTTGATTGGATTTTATGGTCACACGACACCCCCTGCTTACATCACTTATCCTACTCATATGATAACTAGCATCTTTCATCAAACTTTGCTTTGTTTTTTTTGTAATGCCAACCAAAGCAAGTATCAACTTTTGACGCTTGTTGTTGGACTCGCCACACCTTGTATGTTGTAGTTGCATTACCATATTAGGACTCCTGAGGGATGAGCCTTAGAGCAATTGATGAAGTTACTCATTGGTGACTGTTCAATTCACGAGAACATCCTCTCTGCAAACATGCAAGGGAAACGCAGCTTACAAAGAGTTCCCTGCTCAACCTAGGAGGCTTTGGTTGCATGATGGTAACCCTTTTATGATATTAACTCTCCCAGTACTCCAGCCTTATTTAATCTAATCCCTTAGATCACGAATAACTCCTCCAGGGCTCTAACGTGCTATTTGACTTTGGTTGGTTTGTGGGATATCATCTTGCAAGTAGTTTTTTCATAAAACATACATCCTTGACTAGGTGGAGATTTACACTCCATCGAAAATAAAGGGAGATTGGTTGCTAGACTACCCACCAAATAGGGAACTGGAGATTTCCAGCAATGTTACACAAACCATATAGTCAAGGCATTCCATTGCATTTAAATAACCTTCGTGAAGGGGCTTACCGTGCTACATTAATGTCAACTTGTCAGTGGTTGTTGGATCCATTAATAAACTCATCCTTTCATTATAAGAAAGCCAATGGTGGTAAGGAATGAAAATTGCAATGATTAGCAAATTATGATCTGCAAATTTTCGACAGTTGGTTGATGAATAAGCTGTTGCTGGGTGATGCTTAAATATTACTATTTTTATGCTCTGGCAAGTGTTCTTGTAACAGGTTTATTGTATCAACTCCATGTATAAGTTTCTTTCATCTAATTATAAATTCTTATTCATGGTTTCTCTTTTTTCTAGGGACAATCGTGCATCTAGAACCGCTTTATTTGATAACCTTGATGGCATTGAGGAGGGGGGTCTCAGGGCTTCTTCCTCATATTCCGGTAATATAGATGAGCATGAAAATGAAAAATCTTTAAATAGCTTGCAAGACAGAGTCGTCTTTCTAAAGAGAGTGAGTTCTTCAATTTTTATTGTTAGTTCTTATTGCGAACATGTTGACTTGTTAGTTTATCAAGGAAGTGAGTATTAGTACAATTTTAAGTGATCAAATGTAGAATACCAAAGGTAACATCAGTTTAAATGGGTAGTTCTGTCAATGATGTATCGATAGACCGTAGGGGAGTTTTCAAGGTTCCCAGAGAAGGCAGAATGATCTTACCGAGCAAATTACTGATGACACATGGCGCTAGCGTGACACCAAGTAAAGAAAGGAGCCATAACACATGCAGTGGCATGTGCTATTCTCCAAAACCAAAATATAAGTTTTCTTTTTGAATGATAAAAACAGCAAGTAAATCATATTATTGAATTTATTTTATAGTGAATTGAATTAGAAAATCTCTAGGTGGGTACCTTTATTTTTCATAGTTTATTCATCTGTTAAAATTATATTATTCTGCCGATTACTTTTTCTGTTGATAGAAGTGATTAGGCATTGCCTTTTGATTTATTATTCATGTTCTGTGTATTTTATTAGTCAAGTAAAAGTTTTATGGTTCACTGTAACTAAAATCTTAAACGCTACAATGCATTGAATATAATTAGTAAATTAGCTGAAAAATGTATTAAAAGTGACCAAATACTAAACCTGCATGCTGCATCATTTGCTCCACCCCAAATACACAGTGCCTTTCTGTCCTAGCATCCATGACATGTGCCAAATTCCCATCTAATGTGGAGGTGCAACGACTTCTGTGGCAATGTGCCATCACATATGATTGCAGTTCCATGCACCGTTGCATGTGGTTGATAACTACGCTGACATGATATGGTGTTTATTTAGTTGTATTTGATAGCCTGATCGGTCCTTAAACAAAGGGAACGTTCTTGGATCCCCTACTTGTTAGAATAAGCTTTTTTTCTATGCCAAATACATGAACAGTCCTTGACTAGTTTGATTTAGAATAATCTTAGAACTTTAGAAATTTGCAGTTCCTGTTGTTGGTGCAAAAATCTGTAAACAAGAAAAAAGAGCTTCAAGACAACGAGATCATTTCTGGGAGATCTAGATCATCATAATTAGAGTGCTATTTTTTGAGGGTTGATTATCTTTTTCGGATTGCTCATTACCTGCTTTTTACTAACTCAGGAATCCCAGTTACCATTTTATGTTGACTGCATGATAAACTTATTTTAATTTGATAATTGACGTTGACAGCTGACTGGCGATATACATGAGGAGGTGCAGAGTCATAACCGTATGCTGGACCGAATGGTAAACAAGTATAATAGATGTTTGTTTTTTTGCTTCTGATTTGTTCTGATGGTCATCTGTTTAACCAACAGGGAAATGGGATGGATTCGGCAAGGGGGATCATGTCAGGAACTATGGATAGGTTCAAGATGGTAAAAGTTTAAATCTATCCAGTTACCATTCATTTGGTTTGTTCAAATATTTTAATTCTGGATTAATAGTCAGCCTAGAAAAGTTAATGGGCTCTGGCCGATTGCTTATGAGCATGTCATGTATTTTACACACACACAAAAACACACACGCACACACACGCACACACACAAACACACACACACAAAGACACACACACATGTTATGACTTTGAATATGTGTCTATATACATACATTGCTAATAGAAAGTGATTTAATTATACAGGTGTTTGAAAAGAAATCAAGTCGAAAAACATGTAAACTTGTGACATACTTTGTTCTCTCTTTCTTCATCATATACTACTTGTTCAGGTATGCATATTTCATATTTTCCCAATGCTGAAATTCTAAGAAACTTTGTAGAAAGTTGATTAAGCTTTTGTTTGCAGGTTCCTCATGTACTATTTGTATGGTTAGAAGTAGAGATTCATAATTGAGAGAGAGGTGTATTGCTTTTGCAACAAAAGCTAGTGATGAAGGTATATTTATATATATACATACTTTGGAAAATCCCAAGGCGAATGTGAGATTCATTTCTGGTTGTAATACAAGAATAAGCAAAAAAGGACTTTTCTCTTGTCTTATTATCATTATGGTTTTGGATACAAAATTAACCTATTCCTTTGCATCAGTACTTGGAATTAGGAGATGTCAGACATTATTTACATATATTATTATTATTATCAAGAGTTAGATTAGGTTATATATATATATATATATATATATATATATATATATATTATAGGTTGGGTTCGAAGTGAAGTTATGGTGAGAATTGTAAGTAGAGATCTCCACCTTGAATCAATCATAATTGAAAGTCAACACTAATGAACAATGAGATGTATTGAATCAATTTTCTTCTAAAATGCAATTCATGCTGGGTATGAGATTAAAAGTGATCAAGAGTTCAGATCTCTTCTAATGTTTCACCTTAAGTTCCTTTCTCATGATCCTTCACCTAAAGTTAGATTAGGTTATATATGTGTATATATATATATATATATATATATATATATGTATAAAGAGAGAGAGAAAGAGGAAGGTGATAATATACAAACTTTTTGTTTAAATATGAGAGTTGATTAATCATTTTTATTGTTGAAGGTATTAATTATGGATATTATTATCTGCATTTTTGATTAATTTTACTAAACCATTTTTATCGAAATGAGAAATACATGAAGCAATTTAATTTTTATATAGAAACAAAAATATGTGAAATAATTTCATCAAGAAATGAATTATTTGAAACAATTTCATCAATATTACACAATTTCATTAAAAAGTTTTATTAAATTAAAGAATGAAATTGATAGTTTTCACGGTTTGTACTAATGATTTGGTTTGCATTTTATGTATGTATGTATAGAGTTGGGTTCATACGAGAATGATACATATTAAAAAAAAAGAGAATGGCCGAATCACGTGTGATTTTACACTAACATCACATAAAATCACATGTGATTCACGGAACCTTGCTATGCGACCTTGTCACATGGCCATAGGGTTCTGCACATTTTTTTGACCGTTGATGTAAAAATAACACGTGATTTTGTACTTATTTTGGTCATTCTTGTATTTTCTTAAATAGGTAACATTTTCGTATGAACCTACTTCTCTCTCTCTCTCTCTCTCTCTGTGTATATATATATATATATATATATATATAGAGAGAGAGAGAGAGAGAGAGATGATTTATCATACAACCCATTACATTTATACAATCAATGCAACCCATTGTCAACCGTCCATTTAAGTTGATGAATATGTGATTTCATAAATATCTTGATTGTTTCTTAATATAAAACATTGGTTATAATTACTGAACCCTAGTTATCTTCCCTTAACTATTCAAATCATAATAAATGAACGCTTATCATTTCCATAAATAACTCAATTGATTGGGTTGCATTGGTTGTATAAATATAATGAGTTGTATTTGAAACACTTCCCCTCTCTCTCTTTATTATAGTAAGTAGAGTTGGGAGTTTTTGAAGTTGGAGAGGGGAGATCAACAAATGAGCCACAAACTCCCAATTTATCTTGCTACTTAAGGTCGCATACAAAGGCCGTTTCGTTTGGTTCGGTTCTACTTTGCCTTATGCTACGTGGCTTGCCATTTGGTTTGGTTCGGTTATATCGTTTAAGGGGCTATTTACCAAATTTTCTATTAAGTCCTGTATGGATAAATTTGTCTGTCTGGATAAATTTATGTTGTTGTTTACTTTTCTATCTGAATCAACAGTCTGAATAACAGAAATGATCGTAGTTTACCCCTGAGGATGAACTACGTGTTGTTTAATAATTGTTGAATAAACCCAAATGGAACCAACTATTTAATCAAGTGTTTTAAACACAAAACAGTAGCTATAGCTATGTATTGAACCAATCATTGAACCAACAACAATTAACAGCAATAGGAAACAACAAAATCAATAGAAACAACAAGGTGTTTGAGTTTATATAAACAGCAAACAACAAACCTAAAATAGATTCTATCAAACAGCAACAACAACTATAAAACAACAAATACATAAATAGCAAACATCAAACAGCATCAACAACAACCATAAAACAGCAAATACACATCAAAAAAATCCAAAAATCATTGAAGAACAGCAAAGAGGGCTGTCGATCGATGGAGGAGAAGAGGCATGTCAATCGATGGAGGTGAGCGATGGAGAAGACTATCAATCGGTCGATCGATGGAAGAGAAGAGGGCCGTGAGCGATGGAGAAGAGGGCTGTCGATCGATGGAGGAGAAGAGGCCTTCGATTAGGGTTCTGTAAACAGTTTGGATCGATGGAGAAGAGATGTGCGATCGATGGAGGAGAAGAGGCGGGGTGTTTCTTGGAGACGCACGATAAGATAAGGAAGGGTAGGGTAGTCTTTTGGCCGGCTTAATCTGGACAAGCTCCTTCTTTCATCTGGGCGAATAAGCCCATTTCTGAGCGATTAAGCCCAAAGTAAATAGCCTAGAAAGTCTGTGCGAATAAGCCCATTTATCCGCTAAGCTCATTAAGCCACAAATAAACAGGCTCTAAGTAAAGTCTTTGTTAATTTTCCTGTAAAGGCACAAAATCCAACCGTTGTAATAAGACATCAACATAAATGTGAATGTTTAATATGTTTTAATGTAACAACCCATATGTACAAAACAATACTAATACACAAAATCATATCAAACACCTTCACATATTTACAAAACTTTCCAAATTAATTTACATGTCAAAATAAATGTATGGATTAACAAAAACTTTGTCGGATAATAACACTTTTTTCTAAATATCACTTATTTAAAAATTTTCCTGAGTCTTTATCCTGAGATGATGGATAACCTGCAAAATAGATTAGTACAGTAATTGCGCGTTAGACCAAAAGGCCTAGTGATTGAATTTCTCTCTCACAAAACATAACTTACTTCAAAATCCAAAATATATCAAATCTGAACATTAATGAAACATTTATATACTGGTTATACCATAATTTTATTTATCACGGTTACACCACCATTTCATCTATTGTGGTTACACCGCCATTTCTTCTATCGCCGCAACCAAGTAGTATGTAACTATTAAAGATATTAATGTACCACTCTGACTTATCCGAACAACACTATGTCCGGAGAAGAGGTTACTGGACAACATTACAACATTTGGTTATATCCGGGCACTGTTTTGACCAGTGAGGAGTCTTATCCGGACACTGTTTTGACCGATGAGGGTTCTTATCCAGATATTGCTTTGATCGGCGAGGAGTCTTATCCGGACATTACTTTGACCGGTGAAGGGTCTTATCTGGACATTGCTTTGACCGGTGAGGGGTCTTATCCAGACGACCTTATGTGCGATGAGGTGGCCTCATCGGTCACTACCTTATTCGATGAGGAGCCTCATTGGACAAGCTTTGTCCGATGAGTTCTGTTCTTGAGAGGCTTATCGAGCGATGAAGCAACAATAATCATATGCGGTTTGAATTCCATCAAAACAACATAAGCTAGAACTTTATTGAGTTATACTGTGAAGATATAATAACTAGATATATTGAAAACAGCAGGGAACCCACCTTTGCCTTAAAGATTTAGTTTTTGAATCTGTTTCTTTCAGCTTTATGATCTTCCAAGTTTTCAAAAGAAATTTAGAGATATCCAAATTCATTAAACCTTTGCCCCTTCACTTGTACTTGCAATTTATAGCAAGTACACAGCCGACAATACAAAAGGGGGGTGGGTGTGCTCACCATGCATCCTCCTTACCGTAACAATTCTCTCTCTCTCTCTCTCTCACACACACACACATATATATATGTCCAATTATATATATATATATATATATATATAACTATACTGCTCAAACATAGTTATAGAGAAAGAACCATAGATGAATTCTTCTCCAACCCTTGAATGCCAAAAATTAACCCCGAACTTTCCATTACCAAACTACTTTAATACTTGATCAACTACATTTGGAAACCGAATATTATAATATCCCCTCCTTAGAAGAATTCCGTCCTAAAATTCCACTAAGTAAACAAAAAGGATATTTCATTCGCATTTCTGATTCTAATTCCCAGGTGGCTTCCGGCCCCTTTGAGATAACGCCATTGAACTTTCACTAATCTGATTTCTTTATTCTGCAGCGCTTTTACTTTGAAGTCAGTAATGGCTTCAGGGGTTTCTTCAAAACACAACTTCTCATCAATCTTAATCTTTGGCAGAGGCACGACTGCATCAGCCTTTGCTAGACACTTCCTTAAATTAGACACATGAAAGGTATTATGAATACCCACATAATTCCATAGGAAGTTCTAGTTTATATGCCATTTCTCCAATTCGTTCGAGACATGGAAATGGTCCAATATACCTTGGGCTCAGCTTGCCTTTGTTTCCAAAACAAACCACTCCTTTCCAAGGTGATACCTATAGCATTACATCATCACCGACTTGAAACTCGATCGACTTTTGACGCTTATCAACACAACTTTTCTGACGGTCTTGGGTTGTTTTCATTCGTTCCTGAATCAGATTAATTTTATCTGCCGTCTGCTGAAATATTTCCGGTCCAGCCAACTGTTTCTCACCTACTTCGTTCCAACACAACGGTGTTCGACATTTTCGTTCATATAATACCTCGAAAGGTGCTGCTTGGATACTCGAGTGATAGCTGTTATTGTAGGCGAATTCAATTAACGATAAATGATTATCCCATGATCCTCCAAAATCAATGATACAAGCTCGAAGCATATCTTCTAGTGTTTGGAATGTTCGTTCACTTTGTCCATCTATCTAGGATGATGAGCAGTACTTAACTTAATATGTGAACCCATTTCTCTTTGAAAATTTTTCCAGAACATAGAAGTGAATCGACTGTCTCGATCAAAAATTATTGATAGCGGAACACCATGACGTGTTACCACTTCATCAATATGTAATTTTCTCAACCTATCCATCGAATACGATTCTTTCATCGGTAAGAAATGAGCAGATTTAGACAATCTATCCACAATAACCCATATGGCGTCAAAACCCTTTGGTGTTTTAGGTAATTTGGTTATGAAATACATAATGATATGATCCCATTTCCAAATCGAA